CCCCAAAACCCCAAAACCCCAAAACCCCAAAAAGTACTAATTGTGTTTTTTCCATGGTTTCTGATAATATACCAAATAAATATTATTATAAAAGCTGCATGTGAAGAATAATCATCGTTTAGTAAGTATGTAAACTATCCTCATTTTCAACAACAATTAACTATATATAGGTACGAGCTTTTTAATTTGATCATTTATTACCTTGATACTGATAAATTATTTAAGACATCAAACTATGTAAGAAAACATATGAATTCAGTATCGGCATTTATATTGTAACAAATAAGGATTTATTTAGTATTTTCAGCAAAGTATAATGTTAATCTAAAACAAATAGGCAATTAAATTACGACATTTTAAAGAAGGTGAATTGATATATTTAATTAAGTACTGCAACTTACATACTCTTACATGAGATATTGTACCTTGAAATAAAAAAAAGTCTTTAAGGAACATACATACCTCATGATTATTGGAGAAGTGGTTGCAAAAATTAAAACTAGTTAAATATCGAAAAGCACCAGATCAATTATCCATTAATTAAGGGTAAATAATAAGCAAAAATAGAATCAGATACCAGCTTCTTAGACATTTAGTGGAGCCAAGTACAAAATTTTATTAATGCTTTGCTAGTTTGATCTATTAACTTGTGAAACATTGAACTTTGTCAGAGGTAGACAAGTATTCCTGCTAGTTATAGTTTACTGATAATTTACAAAATTAGCACAAAAAAGCAAGACCTACTATTGAGTAAATTTCAAGATCCTCATCCCTATATTCAATCTTGGATTCCGCATAAGTCAAATTGATATTTATATACATCATCAATACTTATATTAGTGCTTTGCAAAATTATGTTTGGCTTTTTCAATAGAGATTGGTAATTCTCAGCCTCTAGATAGGATCCTATTTATAGCATGAGATTATCCCAAAACTCTACTTGATCACAGCATAAATACATGAATAATGTGATATAAGGATCTATCACTCTATTTTTTCAATAAGCATACAATGAAGTAAAATCATACTAGATCTATGAGAAACCATGGCTAAAGTTCTATTTCAAACAAATCCTTGAGCTTCTTAAAGCTCCTTACTTATTTAAGAAACCAGATCTCTGTTTGATAGAATTAAGACTCTCCATTTATTGGTTGAACCTTTAGGAAAAGAAGATTGTGGATTTATACAGCATAGCACATAATACTCAAGTATGAGAGTGAACCAGACCAGATGTCCACATATATGGTCTTCAACTTAAAAGAGAGTTTAACTGCTTAATATTTCAAACCAGTCCATAAGGTTCGGGAAATCCTATTATCATGAACTGAAGTTAAGAAGACATTCTAATATCAAACAATAGAGCAAATTTTCAAACCTATGAAGTAATGATGGATGTGCAATTGATAGTTAGGACTTAGCATCTTACCTCTTAGCCAAACTAGGCTAATAATTCCTGCAATGATCCCAATTTAAATGTTGAAAAACTGAATTGTAGAGTAGAGATGTTAGAGGTAGCTGAATATAAATCCTATTATAGAGATGAGGCTAATAAAGAGAGCCCAAAGATACCAGGGGAATTTTTTCATTTCGTTCCAATCAAGTGTGAAGTGTTACAAGAATCTAGCATCCAAATGAATGAATTGCAGTCCAAGAACGAATCCTGTAGTCCATAAAACTTCATCATTACTGTAAATATTACAATGAGGAGTATTGGGAGTATTTAGGACTTAGAGGTGATTATCTTTTAATCGACATGAAAAATTGTTGAAATGGAGCTTGGAGGTTGATATCAGCTTTTTTAGGACTCTTTATTGGCTTTCTGTGAGAGGTGTAACAATAAGATTTCAAATTATAGTTTTATATAAGAACAACAATTGCAGATGCCAAAAACAATAGTATTGAAACATAAATAATGTATTTGAAATCCTTATAAGTACCATCACTCCCCTTTAATGGATTCTACCTTTAGTTTTGCATTTTTGATGTTTATAAACATGAATCTAGATATCAGCATGATAAAATAGTAAATAAACTGTAGTAGAGGAAATACTTAGTATGAACATAGTATCTGTAATAGATGTTGTCAAAAGTAATTTTCTCTGTATTAACATCTCCCAAATTATGGGCCACAAAGTAAGCTTTAGTGGTGCTGCCAACCCTTAGAAGATCAATGTACATTTTACAAAATATGCTACAAGATTCCAATCTGTTGGGTCATCTCATAATTTCAATCTTTACTTATTTCCTTTTGAGAGGGATATTTTTAGGTTGGATCTACTATTCCTTAAGAAAAATTATTATTTTGTATAGAAAAAACCAAGGTTATTTATTTATTAATATCCATTTAACAAATTTAATTGAGTTATCAATAAATATTTAAGTACAATTATTCAAAATCAATAAAATGCTTGAATTCATGTTTAAGGGGTTTTGGGGTTTTGGGGTTTTGGGGTTTTGGGG